TGAATGTTCTTCATCGGTTGCTAACAATGCCCTTGTGATCATGCAAGGCCTCCATAATCCTTTCCAGGAAAATGTTGAAGAATGTAGGTGACAGTCAGTATACATTCCTGTCTGACTCCAACTGTTGTTCGAAACCAATCTCTTCTGCTGTCATTGATGAGGACAGCACTGGTGGCTTTGCCATAGAGGTGCTCAAAAACCAGCACAAGGTTTGAGATGATATACTTCCTCATAGTTTCCCATAAGGCTGCATGCCATACCCTATCAAATACCTTTTTGAAATATGTAAAGATGTGGTATAGATTCTACTGATTCTGAAGGTATATCTCGCAAAGCAGTTCTAGATTGAAGATTTATTATGTGGTGCCCCTTCCTGTTCGGAAGCCTGACTGCTTTTCAGCAATAATTTTTGCTACTTGAGGTTTAAGTCTGTTGAGAATTATCTTCAGCGTGAGTTTGCTCGGGTGACTAATAAAACGAATGGTTCTGTAGTTTTTGAATAGCTGTGGGTTTCCTTTCTTGTGGAGCACGATGACCAAGGATCGAGTCCATGTGGTGGCCCACAACACGCATTGTTGTAAAGAAGCTAGAAAGTTAGTGGTTATATTAAGAAAATCCCTCTTTCTAAAATTAGATGCTATCACACGGCTGAATACGTGTTCTTGGTTGTGTCGATTCATTTGAAAAGAAGGGTCTAGTTCAATCATATATCGACTTAAATGCTTCAGTGTGTTGTTGATGGATAGTTTCGGTAATGTTTTATAGGCAACAATTAAATTATTACAAACAGTATAGTATGAAGTCACTTGTGTCCTTTTCTAATATGTCCATGTTATAGGGGTTCTTTCAGAGTAGCTTATTTTTCTTATTGGCTGCACTTTTATACAAAAATAGGAGACTTTATAGAAACAGTAGCATCAACAAACAAAAAGAACCAAAAGGTTTCCTTGGACATCAAGTGCTTTTGTTCAAAAGTCTCCCTAAGGAAGTTGACATGCCATTGAGCATACACAAAAGCCAAGAGGTAAATAAAGAATCAATATTATATATTTGCAAATGATAAAAAGGGTAAAAAAATATAAATTTAGGACTATATCAATATTTTAAATTATACGTAATAATAAATCACAGATTAAATATACTAAATAATATATGTCAAATAAGTATTTCTATTTTTACACTACATCGGAACTTCCATTGAAGGACACATTTCTTTTTATGAAGTTTGGCAACTTGTCGGGCTATGTGTTGAATCGACTTCCAGCACCAAACCTATCAATCGCTCGCTCACACACATTTTATGAATTGTAAATAGAGAAATAAAATTTTTGTCAGTCTTTATTACATGAGTTACATTTCCTACCCTAATCTAGTTTTAATACCAATTTAATGGAACAGGAAACAATGATGTATCTTTTGTTGTTTTGTGCTAATTCCAAATGGTTACTAACATCTTAAAGAATATTAAGAAAATGTTTCACATGATAATATTTATTTATAAATTTCTAATATAATTTTTGAAGCTGCTTCTTCATGGAGTATGAGTACATGACAAATGAACAAACTTACATACATCTTAACCATACAAATTCTGCTGTTATTTATTAGGCAGTTGCATTAGATTTATGCTAATTATTTTCATTCGTTAATCTGAGAACAGTGGTAGATGCAAATGTAGGTTCCTACTTACCATTAACTCAATTCGACTTTAGAAATCATGTTCATAGAAGAATTATACATTTGTCAATCTGAAGTCCACACAGATCGAATACACGTTACACTCATTTTCAAAACATCCCGATAACATTTGCGGCACACACGTGAAAAAAGGTTGACTCAGAGGGTAATACTTAAACAACAGCCATGCATGTGGTTCTTAATGTTTAATGTTACTTTTTCAGCCAATTATATTTCATAGAGTCGCAAACAACGTATCTATCATTAAATAGTGCAAGTATCATATGAAAGTAAGTTTTTCCCGCCATATAAATTTCGCGCAATTCGTAAGTCCGTAACTTCAGCTTGGTGCAACGCAGAAAAATCAATGATAGCTTGACAAACAGACAAATATCTCAGGAGTAAAACAAGCCACAGACTGTAATCGTGTGCCTTCAAAGACGGAAAAAGCAGAAGGAAATAGAGGGTCAAGTGTGGAATGAAGTTTTGGAACTTACTTACCATGTCTCTTTTATAGTATGATATACATGTACATGGGTTTTGTCAGCACAGGTCATCGGGGTAATCTGTTGAAATTTTGTCACTCGGTATGATTTTTCCCACCAGGTCATTACTGTGTTTTTATAACAATACGTTCGCGTCCAGCACTTGTACCGTGGATAACACAATGCAGCGATAATACACATGTGTTCCACATGAATAAACGTTCAAATCACATGTGCCTAATCAAAATTACTTATTAATGAATAACAGTGCGACACTCAAAGGCAACAATTAAATGTAAGAAATGAGGTCACTCATAATTGTCTGAAACAACACACTTCATGGACAAAAATGCATGTCACGTTCGTGCATCGAATGAGAAATGCAATGATGTAAAAACATGTTAAAACTCTGTGAACTAATCCAGCTGAACTGGCATAACAATACATACATACATACATACATACATACATACATACATACATACATACATACATACATACATACATACATACATACATACATACATACATATGTTTGTTTGTTTGTTGTTGGGCTTAACGCCATTTTTCAGCACACGATAGGCTATTCATGGCGGCCAGTATTAATGGTGGAGGAAGAAACCGTGAAATCACCGGAAAGAACCACCGACCCACGAGAAGCTACTGGCAGGCTTTCTCACATATCTACATTAGCCGAATCCTAGACTCGAACACACGCAGACAGAGGTGAGATGGCAGTGATCCGTAACGGACAGCGCTTTAGACCACTCGGCCACTCGGGGCCCCTCACATACATATGTACGTACGTATATATATATATATATATATATATATATATATATATATATATATATATATATATATATATATATATATATATATATATATATATATATATATATATATATATATATATATATATATATATATATATATATATATATTAGCCCAAATAATGTAAATAAGTTTACTCTATTCAATGCAAGATCACATGTCTCACAACTTTCCAATTGTCTATCCACCGCATACTTTCATGGTTTCTCTTCATCAACTTTCCGTACCATCAGCAGTTCACACCGTATAACTATACAACATTCATCTAACACAGGGAACTATTTTTACTACGCCACCTTAAGCCAGTCAATTTATGGTTTTGAGCCACATTTCGCCTATAAAATTGCATCACATTTGCCACCACGGCGACATAAACGGTATCTGCTGAGTCCCTTCGTGTTTATCCATTGTGTAATTTACTAGTCTTCAACCATAAATACTGCACATGCACTCACACAACCACACAATTTTAATAGGGACTGTGGAACGATAGGGACACTCAGGCGGCTCTGACCCGAATTCACCAAAAGTAAATCATGGCATCATCGAAACTCACTAACTCTTCACTCTGTGGCGTTTGCAACTAGTAATTGGCTAATTATTTCAAGCTAAGAAATATTTCCACTGGACTGAGTTCCAATAGTTAAACAAGTAATTAAAAAAATCTAAGAATTCCTTAAAAGGGGGCGCTATGACCAAATGCGCATACTCCAAAGTTGAAGAGGAAATAGTCATACATACATACATGCATACATACATACATACATACATACATACATACATACATACATACATACATACATACATACATACATACATACATACATACATACATACATACATACATACATACATACATACGTGACCCCGGGTGACCGAGTGGTCTAAAGCGCTCGCTCCTACCGACCTCTGCTAACTCGCCTATGTCTGCGTGGGTTAGAATCTCAGGATCGGCCAATGTGGGTATATGAGAAAGCTTTCACTAGCTTCACGTTGGTTAACGGTTCTTAACCGGGCTTTCCTTGATTCTTATTTACCAGTTATTCTGGTCGCCATTATAGCCACAAGAGTTTGCAGTTTTATCAATAAAGCACGATGAAATTTCCTACAACATGAAATCACTTTAACGGTATTATAAAATAACATAAGGAATGCAAGCAAGACCACAACCCTCCGCTCGATTCGAATTTTCTCACGTGTCTTTTATCGCTTCAAAATCGTACGAAGACTGAAAAACAACACATATCCAATTTTTAAAACCATAACATACCAACGCATTCCTCTCAGACAACCATCGCATGAATCCAATCCAGTGAATTAACCTTTATTTTCACCATTACAGTCACAAACCCTGAAAAAAATGAACCATGCCAGGAAGTAGTCCATTTCTACCACGGGCTAAATAACGACATGGAACTAATTTTGCAAGATAAAATGTTTAACTTGTTTTTTTTATTTCAGATTTCATCATTTAATATTTTTTGTATAAATTTCCAGAATAGAAATATAAAGTTAAAGTTCTAATAGTACAAATAACGGTTGATGACGTCATCACATTCAAATATTAGATCCTAGTATTAAAAGAGAACAGATTATGCGCCGTGTTCGGAATGATTATTAGACCCTAACTCATTTTTACTGCAGGGAAGAAACTAGCAAAAATCGGCTACTTCCTAGCATGGTTCATTTTCCCCGGGTTTGTTGAGATCTCTAACAAATCGTTTTGTGAGTATACTATAACTTTGGTGAGATTTCACAAAAAACTTGGATCATTACGTAGTATTTTACTTAAGTTCCAGGAATGTTTCAGACATTTCAAAAGGTTTCAAATAAATAATGGAGATTAATTGTGTGTGCGTGATTTGGATTTTTAATGTAGCTTTAACAAAGTTTTGGTCATATTGCTACAATGTCTGTAGAATGGCAGTTTATAGTGATTTCCCCCTCTTAATGCTTTGCGCCAAGCGAGGCAGCTGTTGGTACCATTTTGGTAAGTCTTTGGCATGACTCAGCCGGGGATCAAACCTACGACCTTCCGCATCCAAGGTGGATATTCCAACCACTGAACCACCAGAGCGGTACTTGATGTGAATTTAACAGAACTTTATTAATCAATGTGATATTTCAGTGTACATGAAACAAAATTATATAGATGTTGTGATTATATAACATCCAAGGCAAGAGATATGGCAGTTAATAATAATAATAATAATAATAATAATAATAATAATAATAATAATAATAATAATAATAATAATAATAATAATAGAGACTTTACTTAGAGAAGGTAACAAACTTAGTTACAGAATTAATCTACCTTTAGGCCTTCTATCTGTTTGCACAAAATATCATATACAGATTTTAAAAATCAAATTAGCAAGCCTGGAACATATTCGCAGGCATCTGTGAACACATAATATATGAAGTATAAAATATTATCTTGCATTGAAAAATTCAATGGTAAAAATGACACAAAATTACGGAGGAGCATCCATTTTGAGACATTGATTAAGAAAAGAAATGCTAGGAGGCTGCTTTATGTCACTGCATTCTTGATTTGTGATTAATGTCTATGATGTTTGTTGCGGTCTCTTGATTTAGTCCTTGTTCCATAATCAGCGGTGACAAACGTTTATCATGATATAATTTGTGGGCAAAGAAAACTCCTCCAACAACACAACAACAACAATACAAACAATTCCCACCAGTGATATATCCGGTGTCCCTCCTTACATTCTGAAAGTTATTCATTTTGGAGTTCTAAAACCTCGAAATCATTCTGGTTCAATTCGTCCTATTTGGCATGCTAGCCGCCACTGTTAAGCTCTTTATGGCACAAAACGCAAAACGCTAGTCCTAGCGTTCAGTTTTCATACAGACTGACCAAATACGGTCCCATCAACTTTGTATTCAAGCTATTCTCATTGCCAAACATTTTCTAATGGCTAACACACAACGTTTTCACAACGTTGCTGTTTGGTTGTATTCTGGTTACGTTGGAAATTAACGTTTTGGCAACGTTAATACAATGTCACACATAAACATTGTCTAAATTAGTCATCTGATCTAAAAAAATATAGTCAGTTACAAATGGTATGCATATACATTGATCGTAATAGAATTGACAAGAAATAATATATTTTTTTACAAAGGTAATATATAACGTGTTTTCAACGTGGTATTAACGTTGCGATTAACATTTCAGTGTTAGGGGAAACAATTGTAGTTTCGTAGTTTATTCATTTTTTATTTTCAAAACTAATAAATATAAGAGGGTTGCAACTTTTGCAGCAAAATATTTTACTCGCCGGTTTTTCACAATTACAAACATGTGATAATGTCTTTGCCTTGACAATATTCTACGTATCTACGATCCGAGGTCTAGCTTATCCGGTACGGTAGTTGTTGATGGAGAGACGAATCTCGTTTCCAGCTATTTTGAATTACGAAGGTATGAACTTTAAATAGTTAATATAAAATCACACTTTTTGTTGAAAAACAATAACGTTTGGTTATTGGTTGATGCCATTGTGCATATGTACACTGCTACGATCTAGGCGAGGCAGTGTCATTCCATGACCTCATTCGCATTTTCAAACAAAGAAAATGGGTCAACTATCGGCCAACATGTTCAGTTTATGAAATGACCTAACTGCTTGGCATATTTCTGTTACTTTTATCCGACTCGTATCAAGTCAATTATATTGTTTCACTCGTACAGTTTTGGAAAGAAAAATATCGAGATAGTATATGTTTGTGTGGTAAAATGCCGTCTGTTAGGCTAACATTTCGAATCACACGCTCCTGGGTAAAGAGCGTAAGATTTATTGTTCTTGACCAAAACATTTTTTTTTTAAATAGCAAGTAATACAAATAGAAATCAATCAAAACTGAAATTTAAATTATGTTAAAACATATGTCTACATATGCTGATATACTTAGATGTGAAAAATAAAATGCATCTTAAAGGTAATTAAATTTTGATAATTACTGACACGAATTACAGTTGTAAAAAATGTAATATTGGTATGTTTTCAGTGATAATTATGTACATGAACTTTTTGCAATTAATAAACACAGCACATGGGAATAAGATATGTCATCAGCTATGCAGCATATTTACTAATTCATAAATGGGTGTTCTTATTTTCACTGGAAATTGATGGGTGTATGTCATTTGTGTGATTGGGGACTTGACTTAATTATAATCTTTTATTTCATTTACAACTCTCTAAATATGAGGAAGCCAGTTATACACTGTATTCATGGATTTAATTCTAATCTAAGGTAGCATAACTGTTTTATGTTACAAAATGTTGGGTAAATGATAACTGTTTTATGTTACCAAATGTTGGGTAAATGTGTGGCAGTACAAAAACTGCATTTTGCAGCATTTAAAAGCATTTGTTCACTGCACATTAGACTCGTCATTTGAGTTGATAATAGTCTTGTCATCTTGTAGACATTACAAATGTTAGTGTTCAGTACTAACTTCATGAACATTGAGTCAACACCAAAATTTGTTTGGAAATGGAAGATTATGACATGAAAGCATAAGTTTCTGTTGCTCAGACACATTTCTGAACATTGTGAACATTAGTTAAATTATAGGTCATAAAACATATTGTACAAGACTTGTGCATGTAGACAATATTTACAATGAGTTCTTTTTTCACTGATGTGTCTAATTCCATTGGATTTTTTTATTTTCCTTTCTTAGGTATACCAGTGTCATCTCTAAGTCTGATGCCAAAACCATCCTCATTGAATGCAACATTACAGATACCAGTAATGAATCAAGACATCCAGGGAGTAACAAAATACAGAATTACACTGATAGTAAGTTTTATTTTTTTCAAATAAATTGTACAAAAAACAAGTATTTCACTTCATAGTTTTAATTGTTATACCGGTTTACTATACAGTTCTTTACAAGGAGTTAATAGCAATGATTTTGATCTTTCCAAACAGATGCATATAGTATCATAAATCTCGTACAGATTTCCGGCTCAGTGTACTTATGAAACTGGACACAATTATTGAGAATCAGCAGACGCTGCTGACCCTCCTATGGAAAGTTTTAGTTAACACACATGACCCAGACACAGAATGTACAGAAGAAATGCTTGTAATGCCATGTGATTCAGTGGAGGAACTAGAAGGCGAGAAGATGGAGGAGAATACAAAATTCACCAAGATGATGGTAAGTTGGGGCCTTTTTTTCTCATATAAAACTGTTATCGTGTCTATAACCATTATTTACTGTTGTAAACCTCAATATGCATCCTACAAGTACTGGGGCAACTGCATAATTATTTTTAAGTGGTGGGGAAGAACATGTGGTTTTACAGATCTAGGCTAAAACATGTTTAGATATGAACATGTACAAGTTTTTAGTACATATACACTGATACATATTTTTTGGCTATTTTAATTCAGTCTTAGAGTGAATGTCATGTATGAAGTTAAATGATTTGTGGTGGTTAATTTGTTTTATAATTGCTTTAAGTACATTATGTTGCATAGTTGCTGTTGTCAAACTGTTTCAGGTTTGAGCAAACAAAATCGCATGCAAAACCCATGTAAAAAAACTATTAAACCATATGTTGTCACATTATTATTATTATTATTATTATTATTATTATTATTATTATTATTATTATTATTATTATTATTATTATTATTATTATTATTATTTTCAGATATAGTATTGGAGTTCCCTTGATGTGTATAATAGTGGGGATAGTGTCTGCAGGATGATGAAAAAGCTAGGAACAAAAAGACAGTGGTCAGAGTATAGCCTAAAGGGATGTAAAAGGAAAAACCATTTAAAGAGCTTCTGATATGCTGGCTTTTGATAAGTATGCATGACTTGATTTTCAGTTGTCTGTTTTTCATGTGACTTGCCAGAGATTTGTAAATGAATGGATAAATTATATTTTTCTTCACACATATACTGCAATTACTTGTATTTAAAGTCACTTGAGACCAAAGTTCAAAGCCAGTTTTATAAATACTCCATTAATTATTGCTGGTATTTAGAATAAAGAAATGTCTCCTTTGTTGTGAAACTCCTTTTAAAACATTGTGTTACTCTTGCAGAATCCTGCTTGAAAAATAATGGCGAAGCAAAAAATAATGAAATTGAAGAGGTCATATAGGAGACCCTAAAATATGCAATAAAATAAACCAATGACCTATGTATATGCTGTGGCACGAATCGTACAAGTTGAAATTAACAAATAATTGATACTTAAGGATCATTCATAAAGGATGTCCACAAAACATACTGTAATACAAGCAGTTCAACACAGAATACCATAACAGAATATGATAGCTTGCTGACATCCCCAAGGTCCTTTATACCCCCTCCCCCTTGTCTGCATTTGACCAACCCTTCCCTCCATCTGTGCAGACATCCTTTATGGATAATCCTTAACGCTGGTTAATGTGACTTTTAAATATGTAAGCATTGCTGAGATGATATTTGACTTTGTTTAAGCATTAAAACTATTTTTTAATTTGCAGGTAACTGAGGAGAAGAAACATAAACTTTAGAGTGGAGGAGGAGACTGATTCTGATTCGTAATCTTAATTAAATCTTGAAAATAAACAAATAGTGATACTAAAATGTATATTGTATTGTTTCTTTTTTCATTTTTGTCTGTTAAAAACTACTGTCTGAACCTTCATTGTGTAAATTCAGGATTATTCATTATCAGGCAAAAGTTGTGTGATTTAACCGTCTACTTTTACTTTACACCCAGTACTTTTAAAAAATTAATTATCCCCATTAGGGTAGTTCCTCCAAAACTCCGGCCTACTTTGTCAACCCACCTGTCCCATTTAAATAAAATGGAAGGCCCTGCTGTAAAGCTTGTTAGGAAAAGTAACCAGCAAGAGGATTTGATACTATGAACAAAAAGCAATGTTTGTATATAAACCATGTTAGAAAACCTGCATACTTGCACTGAAACTGATTGCATACTTCAAAAAGGACATATATAATATGTATTGTTCCTAATTTGATTTTTTTTTCAGTGTATGTACAGATTAATAAAAATTCTAGACTATATTG